CTATTTGACCTAAGGATTCTGAAAATTTTAAGGAAAAAGATTTCCTCAAAATTAAACATTTTATCGAAGGAAATTTGGCAATTCTCGAATGTTCATACGGCGTTCTTCCTTAGCACGGCAGAGTTCTTCTTCTCGCAAGCAAAAGTTTGCAACCTTTCCACTCCAACGAGATGAGACCGCGGTTCCCCTATAATCTACGATGATGTATAAATTCCAGACCACCATTTGATGAGCCGAGGACAGTGGCGTGGCGTGAATTGCGATATATCGATTGTTATGCCATTTAAAACTATGGTAAAGAATCGATTACTAAGGTGTTCGCTGCGAACACCCTTTTCATCGATCCTTTTCCATAGGTTTATATGGCTTAACAATCGATATATCGCAATTCACGCCGGGGCCGGGGAAAATCTATCCGTCTCCTAAATCCTGACTTCGCACGTTACTCACTGAGCAACTGCGCGTTAACGCCGCACAGTGGATCGAGCTAATAGAAGAGGTTGGACAAGACATTTTTGGCGAAAATTTCAAATTTGGATGTTTACTTCGTCACATTTTAAAGTTTGAGGGGTGCCTCAAAAAGAAAATTTCACGAGGAAACTAATGAAACCACTTTTAGCACCTCAAAGTTTGTATGAACGAAGTTGAAAGCTTTTAAAGTTTCTGAATTTTGTCCAATCTCTCCTATCGACTCGATCACTGTGCGGCGGCGCGGCCGCTATGGCGCTAATCCTGGCGGCGCGCGGCGCCTCCGGGCGCCACCAAATCGACTCATCACACCGCCCCCCTAAGTTGGAGCCGCCTAACCCCTCACGAAAACCCCGCGTAGATAAGCTGTATTTACTCCTCGCGGCAGCGTGCATTTCCAAAACCCCCTCGCTACTCTTGCTTACTGCGCACGAAGTGGTGGGACATAAAAATACCAAAAACTTCTTAACTGTCTCACCCAGTGCCTCGAGTCGCCTCTCGCCCTCAAAATCTACCGGTTTAAAGTCAGGCGAATTGGTAACGCAACCTAATCGCGATCGGGAATTTTATTTCCTTGTCACTGAGCGTTTCAGCCTGGAACATAAATCGATTTTGTTTCGGTAGTAAAAAACTTTTTTATTTAATACTCAAGCGCAAGGATCTCGCTGAACTGTGATGAAGCGTTTTATTGTGGACCATAAACAGCTTTTTTCTAAGAGTATCTTTCAATCGACACTCACTTTACACATATTTCCATCCCTTTTCCGGCACCTAACCTAACGTCATCCTTTTTCTCGATCTTTTTCAAAAGCAGAACTTTGTATTTTGTGCTGATTACCCGGCATTTGAGGTTCTTTGGTGTGCAAGGTATCCTGTATATGGGATACTTTTTAAAATCCAACATAAAAGGTACCTTTACACTCATGGAAATAGTGTTTTAAACTGAGATTCGAATCAAAGGTTCATCGAAATAATAAACGAATATCCGTATGGCAATTTGAAAATTGTATTTGTACAATTATACTCTATTATTATGCAAAAGGAGCCAACATTTCTAGCTTTTCCCTGGTAGCTGTGATGGCAATACCTAAGTTGCAATTTTGATCGGAGAATGCGCGAATTTGGCAACGTCGATTTATTGCCATATTATATCGGATAAAAAATTGCTATACATTGCGATTTCATCGTCTGAATTCGAAATAACTTTCAATGTAATCGACGGCGATATATCGCAATATTATTGAACGAAAAATCGTGATAGATTGAAAAATAAAATTCGATTCTATCGAACGCGATTTTACAGAGGTAAAATTGCAAGAATATCGAGGATACTCCCTCAGATGTTGCTGATCCTCGCGATTTTATCGCAAAAAAATGGTAAAAAAATAGCAACTAAATCTTAAGAAATCACGATTTTTCCGTCCAAAAATGCTTCTCGGGTTATTAGAGACAAGGTAAGTGTCATTATTTATCCAATGTAGATTGATGCTTCAATGGATGAGCTAGAAATAGTGGTTTCACGTGAGACTTACAAGCAAATTATTGAGTATCTATCAATGGCTTATCGAATAACCTTGATCGACGAATTACTATCATTCTAGATAAGACTTTCGCATAGATTCAAGTAAATTAGTACCAAAGCCAAACAGACCGAGCTTATCCAGTCCGCGTAGCGTTCTGTCCGTTGTAAGAGACGCAGATTAAAAATGTTAGACTGGACGCAGCAGATAAAATTTAATATCACCAGGAATTTTCTTATAATTAGTCGTGGCACTTTCAGGTTCAAACCACGAAAGAGACACAAGACTGCGTATACATTGTATACATACACGTATACATCAGAAAAAAATTATGAAAAATATTTCGAACTCAGCTCATCAAGTCCTCTCAGTTGAGGCAATAAAACTTTTATGTGCAAATTCTCCATTTGGGGTCCAAAAATGAGATTCCCTGAGGACAAGCAGCTAAAATAATCTTCTATACTATGGATCCGTTTTCTTGCTAAAACTTTAATGAGGAACCAGTTCATTAAATATAAATATCCACATCTCGATGTTCTCACTCCAGCTATTAATTCACCTTTCCGTCAGTCGTAAAAGCATCAACTGACAGCACCGTAAATCACGGACGAGGTAACTGTGCTGCATGTGCTAAGTAAAAACGCCGCATGAGCATTCGAATGTTGCCAAGCTTCCTCTCAGAGAATATTTATTATCGAGGAAAGTAATAAATATTTTTGCTTGATATTTTCAGAATTTTCGGATCAAATTACGAATGAAATCCTCCGAAGAGTTGGAAGTGAGACTGTCAAAAATTGTCTTGAAAATTCGTGATTTGTTGGAGGAAATTTGGCAACGCCTGTTGGCTCATACGGCGTTCTCTAAGCACGGCAGTTTAGTCGTTCCGCGCAGCGGTGAAAGTCAGGAAACGCCCTCATCATCAAATCGAAGTGCCAATCGTTGCTTCTCCTCACCCTCACCTCGCTCTATGGTCTACTACAGTTGCAATACGAGGAGTCGCACAGTGCGTTGAATGGTGACAAAAATCCCCCCTAAACATGAAAGCCGAAATTTTCCAAACATTATGTGGTGAACGTTAAGTGGTATATCTGGCAACACTATTGTCAGCGATAGTATCGATTTTTATCGATACCCAGTGCCCGCACAGGTGGTCGTTTTCAGCCAGTTCTGAGCTCCTGATTAGAAGCCAATTGCAGATGACAACAATGAGGAGCATCCTGATCAACAGGCTTCAGTGCCATTCTATCCTTCCAGCTGGCAGCTTCATTCCTACTGGTACGCACTATTTATTTTTGGTTTTTCCAATTTTTAAATCCTTTTCTTTGTGGCGAATATTGCATTTTGAAATACTGCTCATTTTTAACCCTTGTTTCCACTTTCATGGAGTGCCAAAAAAAGCACCGTCAAACACCGAACTTTTGTGCACGTGGATTTATTCAGTGGTATGTGTACTTTCAGAAAATCAACAGTTTATCTGCCCGATGTTGCCCGCTCGGACGGAAATCACGATTTTCTGAGAAAATTTGGCCATTTTTCAGGTGCTTTTGGGCTTTCATTTGACTTTGATTCAGGGTTCACAAATTCACCTCCAATTTTCAAGACATTGTGCACAGACACAAATAGATAATACTAAAAATGATGAAAAGAAATGGTAAAATTCATTGTTAAGTATCACATGATGCCAGCTCGCTCTAAAAAATAGTACATTTCTTAAGTATTTGCATCCACGTATATGTACGTATATATATGAACTTATTCCGATTACTTTCCAAGTTATTTTCCAAAAGATATTGATATGAATACATTTAATGGCATGTAAAATAGGGAAAATTAAAAACTAAAATAGCTCATTGTCGCCAAATTCCATGAAAACTTCCATTTCCGCAAGGCTTAAGAACCAAACGAGAGGCATAAACTCCGAATAATGGTAAAATTCTCTAAAAAAATCATGATTTCTGTCCAAACGGCAGGCTACGGGCAGCTGAACTTCTAATTTTTTGAAAGTGCACATACCTCTGAATATGTCAACATTGAAATATTTCCAATACCTAGTTGTCAACAGTTTTTTTTGCCACTTCATGAAACTTCAAAAGGACGTAAAAACCAGCCTTGCGAAAATGGAAGTTTTCATGGAATTTGGCAACAATGAGCTATTTTAGTTTCCAATTTTCCCTATTTTACATGCCATTAAATGTATTCATATCAATATCTTTTGGAAAATAGATTGAAGTAATCGGAATAAGTTCATATATATACGTACATATACGTGGATGCAAAATACTTAAGAAATGTACTAGTTTTTAGAGCGAGCTGGCATCATGTGATACTTAAAAATGAATTTTACCATTTCTTTTCATCATTTTTAGTATGAATTTTACCATTTCTTTTCATCATTTTTAGTATTATCTATTTGTGTCTGTGCACAATGTCTTGAAAATTGGAGGTGAATTTGTGAACCCTGAATCAAAGTCAAATGAAAGCCCAAAAGCACCTGAAAAATGGCCAAATTTTCTCAGAAAATCGTGATTTCCGTCCGAACGGGCAACATCGGGCAGATAAACTGTTGATTTTCTGAAAGTACACATACCACTGAATAAATCCACGTGCACAAAAGTTCGGTGTTTGACGGTGCTTGTTTTTGGAACTCCATGAAAGTGGAAACAAGGGTTAAAAATGAGCAGTACTTCAAAATGCAATATTCGCCACAAAAAAAAAAAAAAAAGGATTTAAAAATTGTAAAAATCAAAAATAAATAGTGCTTACCAGTAGGCGTGGCGTGAATTGCGATGTATCGATTGTTATGCCATTTAAACCTATGTAAAAGGATCGATAAACAGGGTGTTCGCAGCGAACACCTTAATAATCGATTCTTTACCATAGGTTTAAATGGCATAACAATCGATTCATCGCAATTCACGCCACGCCACTGTGGCAATGTGTGACCACCAAGACCCGCCCCCTGGTCATTTTCGGTTCAAATATGAATGTTGATCCCTGACGCGTAAAAGTGCGTCCTCAATCGTTCCAAACCCTCCCTGAAGGAATTGCGCCCTCTTATGCGGCGTTGCCAAGTTCCTTGTTCGGTAACACAGGAGACCGGTGTGTTTGTTTCCGTCGGATATCGTGACGTCAGTCGAGTGATCATTGACCAAGTGACCCCGTGATTCTACTCGGCTCTTATCGCCTCTCGAATCTCACCCGCTCTCTGCCAGACAGCACGCGGCAGCTAGCTCCGCACTGTCTCGCCCCATAAAAAAAAACTCATCAACATCGAACGGATTCGATAATCGTTTTTCCGGCTCCAGTCTCGTTTTCCGCCGCCTCGTGTCGCAAGGGCTCGCGTTCCGCGCTTACGTTTCTTCGAGAGGGTTTTCGACCCTTCGTCTTACGGGACACTGACCCTAGAGCGTCTATCGAAATTTTCGGAATTTCGGTGTCTTCGCAAGCCCTCAGTTGATTCTGTGGCAATTTTTATCAAGAGCTAACGATTCCTGAGTGAGTTACGGTTTTCTTAAGTGCTTTACGGAAAGTTGATCGAATTTATAAACGTAGGTGACCTTAAAGTGACCGCGAAGTTCCCAGTTTTTTTGAAAGCACAGTGTTCAATGGGGCAATGAAATCTAAGACAATTTTGGACTATTAGTGGAGTTTAGTGTCTTGTTTGCTATCGATCCCTTGGAGTTGGAAAATCGGACCCTCTGTGTTTGTTGCACTTGCTTGGCTGAAAATTACGTAAAATTAAACACCGGGTAAAATATGGGCTGTTTGACGCATTGCTCCGTAGATATTTATGTGATATCAAAACCACTTAGGCCTTGTCTCCACGGGACGTTTTCATGGGATTTGTCCCAAGTTTGAATCGCAGGAATGAAACTTCTGGGATTTTCCCCAGTTACCGTCTCCACGGGACGGGGCTCATACAGTCCTGTGACTAGTTTGTGCGGGAAGATAAATTAGTTAAAGTCGAGTATTTAACCGGGATTAAAGTAATAATTGCACTCAATTGACAATTAGACACATTCTTTTAACTAAACAAACATGAGCAATGTAGTAAGGAATAAAATATCGCACAGTTCGTTTTCACTTCTTCTTCTTCTCTCAGTGGGTCCTAGTACCATACTTGGTACTGGGAAAAATATTGATTAACTTAATATTTTTCCCAACTTCGTAAGTGGGATTTTTCCCTGGGACAAATCTCGTGAAACGGCTCGTGGAGACAAGGCCATAAATATTTAACTTCTGAAGACCTTCAAATTTTTGGGAAAAATTCAGTGTAGTTTACAGAATGACGGAAACTGACTATAGCATACCATAACTCTATTCTAAATATCCGTTTGAACCATTCAGAGCCGATTTTGCACAAATCAAACAAGAAAATTGTAGCTTTGTGTATTTTGCGACAGCACAGAACGTCACGTTATGATTCATCCGAGAGGAAGAGAGGGAAGAGGGAAAAAGTGTTTGTTGCAAACCGTGCGCGGTTGGTAGGAAAACTCGGGCGGTTAGTCTATACTGAAAGCTTCTGTCGTTAAGGAGTGTATACCAAAGCACCTTATAAGGTGCTTGCATGGATGCGGTCTTTTTCTGCACGTTAGAATTATTTAAATAATAACCATCAATGTCAAGTAGTAAACAATTTGAGGCTGATATTTTCAAGAATGCAGAGATTGAGTATTGTATGGCTCAAGAATTTCTCGAACTCCCTGTTGTAAATTGCGTCTTTGTAGTCCAATTTAGAAGAAAAGTGTCGGGGGAGCAACCACAGAACTCCCTTACTCCACCTGTGGGCTGATTATTGACATTGTTAGACACAGAGATATACAAAGAAGACAAAAATGGTGTGAAGGGAAGCGGGTGGTTGCAATGGACAAAGAAGGTATGTAATAGACTAACTAACGACAACCCTCGAGAGACCCTATGGCCTATGGTAGTCCATCATTTACCCCCTTAGTCTATAAGAAACACCCATTTCAACCAATAGGATCGCTCTATACTCCTTATGTCTTCTTTGTCTATGGCTTTGTCTATATATTTCAATAATCGGCCTGCTGGAGAGACCACCTGAATCCCATCTTTTGATCCTCCACCTCCAAAATACGATCGCAACCTAATCAAAAAGAAGTCAGTCCGTCTATTTGGCAATCTTATTTCCTTTTTTTGTATGTTCATCATCAGTTGAGAGCGATGGATAATCTAAATCGGGACTGGTACCTACATTAAAGTTTAAAATCTCCGCACGTACCTCAATTTCTAGAGATCAAATTGCAGTCAAGCTCTTTAAATGTGCACCCATCAGTTCAATTTTATCGGATGACTTTACGTGTATCTTTGACTTTTCACTTCAGATTGTGCGTATGGTTTTCGAACTTAAGACGGAAGGAACATCAAACTGTGACTGTGAGTTAATCTTTGGTTTTGAAACTGCAAGTGCACAGGCTGAACTTATTGTCAGTCTGGAACTCACCACTCAAAGACTTATTCTGTACCTACGTCATCCAAAAATAGTTATACTGCAAATACCAAAGGACAGGTTTTGTCAGGGTATTCTTCGATTTTAATATTTTAAGTGCGCAAAAACAGTTTCAGGCAAAACAGGCAAATTCTTCTTTTTATCTTCCTTGCTATAAAATTCCGACCCACTTCCTAAGTTGCATCGCGTGATAAACATAGTATCGAATTTTCAACGTTGAGTTTGACGGGAAATAGGCAAAAAAGATTAATTTTTCAATGCATATGCTGCAATTTGAAAGGTGGCTCAAAGTCGTTTGTTTCTTTTGAAAACGATATTAAACGCACCATAAGGAATAATGGTATTAAATTCATCAAAAGGCAATTTTGAGCTCACAATCTTGTCGCAGCAAGTGCAAGGGAAAAGTTGTCATTATACTCATTAGCAGAATCTTGAGTCCAGATCCTCTGGGCTTCGCAAGACACCTGACACTACGAGGGGCGTTCAATAAGTAAGTATCCCCCCTCTCTAAAATCCATAAGAATGGACCAATTTTAAGAAACTTGGGTTCAAAATCTTCCTTAGGATATTTTGAGTTCAACAAAACAAACCGCAACAAAATCGGACCATGTGCGGCCGAACGCGAGCCGTTTGAACGCGCCGAGGTGCTCGACGCTCCCGCCGAATCTGCGAGGATTTGAAGTCCGCTACAGGAGAAGAGCTTCTCTGCCAAAGCCTCAGTCGTTCATCACTGACGAAAAATCAAAGAAATTTTTGTAGAATAAGGGGCTTACCTCACTTCTCCACATAACCAGCTCGATCCAAGCAAGTCTGATACTGAGACTAAGACTAAGAGAACAGCTTTTGGATGCCTCGTGCGTGGAAGTCTTTCAGCTGACCGCGGATGAAAGAGTGGACGGCTTGTTTGACCTCTTCCACAGATTCAAAATTAACTCCTCCAAGTTCAGATTTCAGATACGATAATAAATGGCAAACCAGACCACCATTTATTCCCGTTCCTGAAACCTGAACTTGGAGGAGTTAATTTTGAATCTGTGGAAGAGGTCAAACAAGCCGTCCACTCTTTCATCCGCGGTTAGCTGAAAGACTTCCACGCACGAGGCATCCAAAAGCTGTTCTCTTAGTCTTAGTCTCAGTATCAGACTTGCTTGGATCGAGCTGGTTATGTGGAGAAGTGAGGTAAGCCCCTTATTCTACAAAAATTTCTTTGATTTTTCGTCAGTGATGAACGACTGAGGCTTTGGCAGAGAAGCTCTTCTCCTGTAGCGGACTTCAAATCCTCGCAGATTCGGCGGGAGCGTCGAGCACCTCGGCGCGTTCAAACGGCTCGCGTTCGGCCGCACATAGTCCGATTTTGTTGCGGTTTATTTTGTTGAACTCAAAATATCCTAAGGAAGATTTTGAGCCCAAGTTTTTAAAAATTGGTCCATTCTTATGGATTTTAGAGAGGGGGGGATACTTACTTATTGAACGCCCCTCGTATTACCTAAGATATTTTGTGTTGTAAACAATGTTTAAAATAGTGCGTGTTTAACTTTCATTTCAGTAAAAAAAAATTCGATCAAATCTAAAAAGCATAACTCTAAAATTTTAATAATGCATAGAGTGACGCGAGCACCTTTGCGACCCAGAACCGATACAAGATTGTGCCTTTCACCCAAGAATCTCTTTAGCACTGTTGCCGTGTCTTTTTGTGCCGTATTTTTTGCCCTCGTTTTTTGCGCGTCAAGTGTGAATGCCGCAGGAAAAATCGGCCCTCAAACAATGAACTGCACGGATGGCTTCAATCGCTCGAAAGTACGTATACAATTAATGCATCAGCAACAGTGGCGATGATTCTTGAGTTTGACAAAACCCTAGTAGCAGAACAAATTTTTGTTTCTCTGAAAAAATTATAAAAACAACATGTCTGTTATCTAAATGGTAGTTTTATATAAAAAACGTGTGACGCTTATGAAAAAAAAATCAAAGTTCAGACCAGACCATAATAAATGAAAAATGATAAAAGCTAGATAAGGTAATTTTTTTTATAGACAATTTTTTAATTGTTTTATATAACGCATGCATACGAAAGTGTTGAAAGTGAACATTTTTATGTATCTATTATATGAAAAAAAGGTCATCATCTTCGTGAGCTTTTTGCGAATTAGAAGAGTTTTTAGTATGTTTGCGAAAAGCTCACGAAAATTATGACTTTTTTTTATATAATGGTTACATAAAAATATTCACTTTTAACACTTTCATATGCATGCGTTATATAAGAAAAATTAACTTTTGTACATAATCGTTATCTTTTTCTTCCATGGTTCTGCTACTAGGGTGGAGGAAAAACAGCATTGCCAACTTTCAATTAACACCACTGATCGACCAGGATCAGCCTAACAACACGATACGTAACCTAATTTCTTCTCATGTTTTATTTTTTCCACCAGAAAACTAAGCAACTTCTTAACGTGAAATTTTGTAAGTGTGTTCTTCATAATCTGAAGAAAATTTGGAGAGAGTTTCGTCACGTTGTATAATTTTCTGTTCAATAATGAAACATGAGAGGAAGTCAGGAATCACGAAATACAGTTAGGTTGATTCTGCAGTGAAATGTATTTAATTTCAGCTCATAAAATTCTTCCACTCCATCAAAATGTCATTTTTCCTGACTGAGGAACGTACCAAACTTTCAAATTGCGGAAAGAAAAGAAAAGAAAAAATTATTGTAAAATTTCTGTGCATAATTTTGCCGATTTTTAGGAATCAACAGAGAAAGAACCAGTGAAATTTTCAGTTAGAAATTCCCATCAATTTTCCAGGAAGAATACAATTTGCGGGTGGAAATGTTGCAACTTTGGAATGTAATAAAGTTCTTTTGTCATGGTAATTACATATTTCCAGAGGTAATGGAATCTCAGAGCTGAAAAACTCGAACCCGATCTATTGATTAAGTTTCTTTCTGAGTAACAATTTTCAAAAATTCAGGCTTAAAAAGCCTCAAATAAGTTAACCCAGTCTGATTTTTGACGATTTGAAGTTCGCAAAAAATAAAAATTCAATCCATTATGTTTGCAAGCTCGAACTGGCCATTTGGCATAAGGCCAATCTGTCATTGGCAGATAGGCCCCTAGTAGCGCCAAAGACACGCCCCTCTGACAGATAGCGAATTAAGAATGGAAAAAAAACCATGATAGAGAAGATATGCGAAAAATTCATAAATGAACGGAAGAAGAGGAAGTGAAAGGTGAACGAAGGTCCAGGATCCATAAACTGGAAGTAAGTTCCGAAGGGCGCCAGAGTCTACTATAATAAGGCTAGAAAATTTAAGTTTTGAGGTTCTTTTGGGGGGTTGGAATTTTTCAAAATTACCATTGATTTGGACACACCATTCTGTATTTTGAGCAAACTTAACCTTAACTTATTTCAAATTTCAAAAATAAGAAACATCGGAATGCGATGCAACAATTCGTACTAGAAGGATGTCTATATTGCATAAGAAAATTTTAAGACTCGATGGCGTGAGTCGTGAGGCATGAACTCGTAATGCTCTGCTCTACGCTGCTAGAGAGAGTCGGGAGAAAAGTAAAAAAAAAGAGGCCGAATCACTTCTTTCCTATCTTATTCGGCTGTGTTGCTCACATGGCCCTTTGATTGAAGCAGCACTACAAATGAGACAAACGGAACCAACGCAATATGGAAACAGAGCAAGGTAAAGGATGCGCGTTAACGACGGCGCAGAGATACAACTATTCGTACTTGATGGATGTCCGGGTTGCGTTTGCAAAATTGAAGGCCCGATGACGCGAGCGGTGAACTCGCAATGCTCCACTATACGCTGTCGATGAGGTGTCGTTCAGATTCGGGAAAAAATTTACAAAACGAGGCTGGATTACGTCTCTCCTATCTTTAGCTGTGATGCTCATATATCCCTTGAAGCATCTCTGCAATTGAGACAAACGAAACCAACACAATATCGACGGTGAAACTACCAAACCACGTATCTCGTTTGCGGTGTTTAAAAATCTACGCTCGCATTTTATTTTTTTGAAGTAGACCAAATCAATATCATTCCTTGAAATTTTCACAGAATTTTCTCCGCACGAAGAGGAAAAATCACAGAAATTTTCAAGACTGGACGTTAAGTAGTTTTTCATTTAAAAAATGAAGTATCACAGGAAGTCTGCGACGTCGCAAACCGAGATACGTGGTTTGGTAGTTTCACCGTCGATATGGAAATTGAGCAAGGGAATAGATACGCGTTGACGACGGCGGAGGGATACAACTATTCGTACTTGATGGACGTCCGTGCTGCATCTGAAAAATTGAAGGCGCGATGACGCGAGGTGTGAACTCAGTGAACTCGCAACTCGCGCTCACTCGCACTTCAAAAATTTAGTTTCACTAATAAAAATTTTGGCCTAAAAATTTCGTTTTTTCTTAAAATAAAATGTAATGCTTGGATTTACAGCAATTAAAAAAAAGGGGGGGGGTCAGTCGAGCCTTACGTAATGTTTAGAAGGGGGGGGGGGCCCCAAGGGATGCCTTACGATGCCTTACGAGAGGGGTAGGTGTGTCTAAAAATGGGGAAACGTGCCTTACGTAATTTATGAATGGCCCCTTTCCACTGGAAATGATAAGGAGGAATTTTGTGCATTTTCATAAAAAATTCTTAAAACCTAAAAAAACCTAACTTGAGGTTTGCATTTTTCGACCAAATAGTTAAGAAGTTGCCATAATAATTTATATCTATGGTGTGTGGATTGTAGTGCTATTTGGCTTTCGTGCATCTACGCACTGCCTCAAAGTGAAAGGGAGTTGAAGTTGCATCACTGCTCCGTTGTTTACATTCTTTTTGAGGTTAGTTTTGATAACAATATCGCGAATTCATCGCCGGCTCTTTTGTCAATTCTTTTCCTTATTTGTCTCCTTCTCCTTGGTTTGCCACATGTTTAGCAGTGGCCTCCAGTTACGTAGTTTTACCGTTATTTCAAGTTTCCTTAGATTAAAAATAGTGCATCCATTCTCCAAAGCTCGGTGTCTTCAAACGTTTCCTTCAAAATTCTCTAATTGCGGGACTCTGAACTCGGCGACAATGGAAGTTGACCAAACTGTGAGTTACTTAAAATTAAACGTGCTCTTTATAAATTCTACCTGTAGTAAGTCTTTAAGTATGATTTACCATATCAAGGTAGTGAGAGAAGTCAAGTTTGCATATGCCACCGACGTATGAATCTCACGGTTACTTATTGCGTTTGCATTGCAAGTCAAAAAAATATTTGATTCTCCAGTCAGCCAAAATTATCACCATATTACATATATACATTACATACATGCATGTAGACATGTAGATAATGTGGACGACTTTTGTCTCAACATTTATTGAAAAAGGTCCAGTACTTCTCAAATCCTTCCATCGCAGTAGAATGCATTCTTATTCCGGAGAATCTTCAACACTTTGTTACCACAGCTGCATTGTCAAAGTAAATTGTTTGAGACTGGTTGGAAACGGGATTACCTAATTCCAAACAGTTGGCATCATTGGTTTTTTGTTTACATACAAAAGCCTAACGTTTCTACCGAACGCTCAACACTCTCAGGAGGTCGACGGGACTGTTTGGTTGCCTTTGGCAAAAGGAGAACCAAACAGAATTGGACAAGTTTACTTCTACCATGCATCTAATATTATTCTCTGATTATTGGTATGGACAATGTCTAACATTACTCGTAACCCAATCTAAAAGGCTGTCCTTACAGTGCATAGTGTTATTTTTCTCATTCTCTAACATCTTTTCCCACTCCTTGTAATGCAAGTTCAGATATCCTCCAGCAACACTTTCCTTGGTACGTCCTTTTTCTCCTGAAATTCCAAAATAAGATTAGGCACAGCCTGCTCCAACGGGCAAGGCTTTAGATGGGATCTAAATATAAATTCAAGAGAATGATTATTTGAAGCGCCTGTTAAAACAAGAGAATGAAAGGAACAAACCAGAAAAGAAAAGGGAAATACCTAAAGCAAAATAAGTACTTACCTACTTAATGTTACGTAATTATGAACTCGATACCCCTCTCCGTCCACACCTCATATTGCTCTGTGCTCTGTCATACAATCATGAAGACCCTTCTACTCCCTTACGTAAGCATTACATAATTTATGGAAAGCCCTTAAGTGGAGGTCAAATAATATAGAGTGAATGAAATACTTGACACATTGATAGATGAGGAAGTCAGATAGCTGTATTATCCCAATTTTTAGGAAGTCATCTCTCACAAAGTGATTTTTTCTCTTAAATAAAAAAATCCTGTCACTTTGACATATAACTCAAATATGCCTCTCTTTGACGATCCCTTAATGAATTTGTTAGAAAATTCTGCATTTGTAGAAATGAAAAATTGAAAAATATTTGGAATAAACCGCAGTGTATATTTTGGGGGGAGTTTGTGGAAGTACCTTTACGACCCATACCTAGTCCATGCTCGTTGTCACTATGTTGTTGCATTTGCACATTTTTTTAAAATTTTATTGGCACTACACAAATTATTTGATTAACTTAAAACTTTTTTTGAAAACCGATTAGGTATATAGTAACCGACTATATAATCGGTTTTCAAAAAAGTTTTAAGTTAATCAAATAATATGATCGTTGTGTCACATAGTTGATGGATCCTCTTAGTAATTGTGTTGCCTGGCCCAAAAAATCACTGAGCCGTTGAAAATTACCCCGCCCGTGTTGTCAATTTGTAAACCATCCCAACTCTTCGGACTGCTGCACGACATGCACATTTTTTCATTTTACAAGCCAAACCAAGAACCT